TATATATATAGAGACAAATAAAACGTGTAACACTGGGTTAAAGACTCAACATTTTATTGCACCAGTGTTACATGTTTTATTTGTCTATCTGCTCTGCTATATACTGCATTGAGCACTCTTGTCTACATGATCTGGTTTAAGCCAACCACGCAGATTATATGTATATATATATAAATGTGTGTGTGTGTATTATATATATATATATTTATTTATTTATTTATTGCCGACTGTTTATTGTATTATATTGGATCTAGTATTTGCCAACTTTTGTAATCAGTTACGCTGATGCAGTCTTGAGGACAAGACGAAATATTCGTTCCCTGAATAAATTCTATTGTGCTCTACTGTCTAACTCAACGTTTCCGCATCATTATTTTCTGTCTTATCTTCTGTTATAAAATATATAAAGTTCCCCTTTTCAATTGTATGAATAAATTTGTCTCTGGTGGGACTTAAACCTGTAACATTTCGTTATCAAGGCGAGTATCATTTTCTACAATATTTTCAGATTACATGGCAATAACCGAATAATTTACGAAGTCTACGAATATTTAACACCCAAAGTCTCAAGCAATATAAATATCGAAGATTGGAATGAAATGGCCAAAGACATCGACAAAAAGTACAAAGACTTTGATGGGTTCGTGATTGTACACGGTACCGACACCATGGCGTATACGTCCTCCGCACTTTCGTTCATGTTTGAGAAGCCTTGTAAACCGATCGTCTTAACCGGTTCACAGATACCTATGTTCGATAATGATGAGAAGCCTAGGGTTGAAAGTGACGCTCGTGATAACTTGCTCGGAGCACTATATGCTGCAGGACATGTTGCCATTCCAGAAGTAAGTGCATATAACTGCCAACATTTTTATTTATTTTATTGTAACTTTTTTGTTGAAGCAGTAGGCCTATCGTTGAAAAACCTTATGCAACGATCGACTGCTTAAAGCAAAACGGAAGTTTATAATCAAGTCTGGTAATTTCTCTCTGGACCCCAGTGGTGGCGCCAGGGGTCCCCCACCAAGGAATCAGCTCCCGACAGGAAGAAGAAAGGTCTCCGACGAGATGTCTAAGATCCCCGACAGTGGGAAACATCACATCCACGTCAGCCTCACAGCGGCCTGATCGGACGTAAATACATTCATAAAATATGATGATCTGACTTTTAAAATAAAACAAAAAATTTGCTTACCAATATTTACCTAGAAATATGCTTTCAAAAAGTATTTTAGTGCATCGTACTGTAGTAATGAAAGGTCCTTTCAAAATTTAAGTTGGATTTTTATTAAATTTTATTTTTAGATCTGTGCCTATTGAATGGGTCCCCATTAGCACAGAGTCCCGGTGCACTGCCCTCACCACGCCACTGCAGCCTCACCATGTTTGAAGCAAATTTTAAGAATAGGCACCTCTATGGCGCTCACAGTCTGTAAAAATGCTTTTTCAAAGCAGTGTTCACAGATGATTGGCTTCTTCTCCGACGTTGGGTCCATGGTATCCGGACGGGATATCCCCTGCACTGGCGCCACCATTGCTGGACCTCTCAATAGGAAAGGAAACGTCCTCGGTTGGTCTTCTCCAATTTCTACCACCTACAACAAATCTACCTTCCATCCACGTTACAGAAACAATTGAACTTTCAGTAATGTGTATAAACAGTATGGTGTTATAGCACAGAACACTGTAATTTTTTTAATTTTTTTTTTTTTTAGGTAACCTTGTTTTTTGACAAGAAGATATTCCAAGGAAATCGTGTCATAAAGTTTGTGAACAACAAAATGGACGCATTTTGTTCGCCGAACATTGAACCTCTTCTGGAAGTCGATAATATGGGAATGTTATGTATGTGAACGATCCATATAAATTATATTGTGAGAATATTCATTTTC